TTTACAACACATCACAAAATGGAGGATAATCAGATCACAAAATGGAGGACAACCACACAATACTGGGAATCATGGCCTAGCCAAGTTGACACATATTGTGAGGGGACACAGTTCAATCCATGACAGTAGTCAAGTGCAAACCATTTGCGCCACCTAGGGACTGTGGACACTGCTTGTGTGTGTGTGCGTGTTTTTTTTTTTTTTGAAATTTTGTTCCCCCTGCCTTGGCATCTCTAATGACTCTACTGTTTGCTGAATCAAAGCTAAGCTGTCCTGCCTGACCTTCAGAACCTTCTAGAACAGCTCTGTCCAATAGAAATGTAATTCTAGCCATACACAAAATTCAAATTTTTCAAGTAAACATGTAAAAAGAAATAGATGAAACTAATTTTAATAATATATGTTATATAACCCAATGCGCCTGAAACATTATCATTTCAACATGTAAGCAATATAAGCATGTTGTTCGTTGTTAGGTGTCATGAAGTCGGTTCTGACTCATAACGACCCTATGTACAACAGAACAAAACCCTGCCTGGTCCTGCACCATCTTCACAATTGTTGCTGTGCTTGAGCCCATTGTTGCAGCCACTGTGTCAATCCATCTCATCGAGGGTCTTCCTCTTTTTCGCGGACCCTCTACTTTACCAAGCATGATGACCTTCCCCAGGAACTGATCCCTCCTGATGATAACATGTCCAAAGTATGTGAGACATAATCTCACCATGCTTGCTTCTAAGGAGCATTCTGGTTGTACTTCTTCCAAGACAGATATGTTCATTCTTTTGGCAGTCTGTGGTATGTTCAGTATTCTTCGTCAACACCACAATTCAAAGGGGTCAATTCTTTTTCGGTCTTCCTTATTCATCATCCATCTTTGGCATGCCTATGAGGTGATCGAAAACATGATGGCTTGGGTCAGGCGCACCTTAGTCCTCAAGGTGACATCTTTGCTTTTCAGTACGTTACAGAGGTCTTTTGCAACAGATTTGCCCAATGCATTGCATCTTTTGATTTCTTGACTGCTGCTTCCATGGGTGTTGATTGTGGATCCAATGTAAAATGAAATCCTTGACAACTTCAATCTTTTCTGTGTATCATAATGTTGCTTATTGGTCCAGTTGTGAGGATTTTTGTTGTCTTTATGTTGAGATGTAATCCATACTGAAGGCTGTGGTCTTTGATCTTCATCAGTAAGTGCTTCAAGTCCTCTTCACTTTCAGCAAGCAAAGTTGTGTCATCTGCTTAATGCAGTTGTTAATGAGTCTTCCTCCAATCCTGATGCCCTGTTCTTCTTCATATAGTCCAGCTTCTCGGATTATTTGCTCAGCCTACAGATTGAACAGGTATGGTGAAAGGATGCAACCCTGATGTACACCTTTCCTGACTTTAAACCACGTGGTATCCCCTTGTTCTGTTCAAACGACTGCCTCTTGATCCATGCACAGGTTCCTCATGAGCACAATTAGGTGTTCTGGAATTCCCATTCTTCGCGGTGTTATCCATAATTTGTTATGATCCACACAGTTGAATGCCTTTGCATAGTTAATAAAAGACAGGTAAACATCTTTCTGGTAGTCTCTGCTTTCAGCCAAGAACCATCTGACATCAGCAATGATATCCCCTGTTGCACGTCCTCTTCTGAATCTGGCTTGAATTTCTGGCAGTTACCTGTTGATATACTGCTGCAGCGGCTTTTGAATGAATACAAGCATGATTAATGAGATACTTTACATTCTGTTCGTTTTGTTGTTGTCATTCTAAGTGTCTGAAATCGGGTATGTATTTTACACTTATGGCACATCTCAATTCAGACTAGCCACATTTCAAGTGCTCAATAGCCATACGTGGCCAGGTGCTACTGTATTGGACAGTGCAGCTCCAGAATGTGACTTGCCACCGCCATCACCCCCACAAACAAGACATACCTAACTCTTACTTCTTAGTCATTTGTTAAAATAATAATAATAATAATAGGGATGTAATACTGTGCCTGTTTTATAGGGTTGTCCTAAGAGAATATGAAGTGTAAAAGTAGTTTGTAAGCTCAAGCTCTACAAAATGCACTGAAGTTATTATTTGGAAGTAAGGGTTTTACTGACATGAGAGTAGGGTATCTTTGGAGTAAAATAATTTGAAAGAAAAGACCGTATTAAGAAGGTAAATTAGCTGTTTTGAACTCATTTATGAAAAAACTGACTCCAAGCAATGAATGAAAAGTGTACGTGTATACTTTCTCCCCTCTCTCTTCATAATAGTCTTTTGGGAAGAAACTTGTCATATTAATAAGTTTCTCTAATTCCTTCAGTTCATCGGCACGCCTTTTTTCCCCACTTCAACATTTTGAGGAATGGATTGAGGGGCAATTTATTTTCTCTCTTGAAATAGGAACTGGACTATTACCAACAAACTGATTGCTTTTGTAGCACATACACTTTGTAGTACTGAAGTGGGAGCGACATTCGAAATTCTTTTGGATTGTTCAATTCATTGCAAAGAATTGAAATTGGCCCCAAAACAGAATGCCAATGATCCAGACGCAGAAACTACTTGCAAAATGCCTCCAATCGATATTATACAGGAAATTTTAAAGAGCAATTATTCTGAAAGCTGGATTAATAAGACTACTAACAATCAGCACACATTATTTTAAATATTGATATGTTGGTTGCTCAAGTGGTACCCAAATCTTATCCCAACCCATCAGCAAATCAAATTGTTGTTATAGTCAGTTGCTCTCGAGTCAATTCCGACTCATGACGACCCCGTGTGTGCAGAGTAGAACTGCTCCACAGGGTTTTCAAGGCTGTGACCTTTTAGAAGCAGATCACCAGGCCTTTCTTCCGAGGCATCTCTGGGTGGGTTCAAACCGCCAACCTTTCAGCTAGTAGTCGAGCACTTAACTATTTGCACCACCCATGGATTTTGTTCAAATCAAATAGTCCATTAATGTTTCTTTAGTCATATCTTGCACTATCATATAAGTTTACTGTGTGGAAGTAAGATTGCTAAACTATGTAACTTAAAAAAAAAGTCAGCTCTGTAAAGTGGCTTCTGGCTAAAGGGCTCCACCATTCCCAAGTTTGCCCAAGCCAGAAACCTCAACCTCATGTGTGACCCTTTCTCTCTCACCCATCCCTCTAATCAGTTACCAGTCTTTATGACGCCATCTCTGAACTATGTCTTTAATCTGTAACCTCCTCTCCAGCCCCACTGCCCGCACTCAGGCTCGAGTTACTGTTCTCAGGAGCTATTGCAACAGTCTGCAAACCTGTTTCCTTGCCTTAAGCTTCGGCCTCTCCTCCACCCCACAATTTATTCTCCAACTACCAGCAGAATGCTCTTTTCTAAAACACAGATCTGGTCATGCCACTCACCTAATTAAAATCATCAAGTGATTCCCAGGGCCAACAGATAACATCCAACTACTTTGCTTGCTGTATAAAGCGCTTGGCAGTGTGATCCCAACTCATCAGCCTAGCCTCCTGCCACGTACACAGAATACTAGATAATCACATCACTTGCGACTCTTCAGTTTGCCCTGTCCTTTTATGCACTCTCTGTTCCTTTTCCTTGGACTGCCCCCTCCACTCCCCATCCAGCGTGGGGAGTCTAGTGATCTTCTCTTCATCCTATAACCACACCAGTTGCCATCGAGTCAACTGTGACTCATGGCGACCCCATGCGTGTCAGAGTAGAATTGTGCTCCGTAGGGTTTTCAATGGCTGGTTTTTCGAAAGTAGATCACCAGGCCTTTCTTCTGAGGTGCCTCTGAGTGGATTTGAACCACCAACCGTTTGGTTAGCAACGAAGCGCGTTAACTGTTTGCACCACCCAGTGACTCCTCATCCTGTAAGGCTTCCTCGAATGCCCCATCTTCTGTGAGAAACCTTCCCGCACTCTCTGGTTGCTTGTTCTTTCAGTCTCCCTTACTGGATTCCTTATTGTGTTGTGGCAGGAACTCCTCAAAGGCTAACTCCTCTCTGTTTCCCCAGCATGTAGCATTCTGCCCAACATAGCATAGTTGCTCAATAATAATGTGTTGAATAAATAGAGAAGAGAATTGATGCTATCCCCTCACTCTGCACCTTTTCTTTGCCCCAAAGAGGAGAGCTTATTTCAGAATTCAGTGTGATTTGTAATCACCTGCTAGTATTTCTAGGTATTTTACGTGGACAGTTTAAATCGTAATCCTTCCTTTTCACTAAAGTTTCGTTTGTCTAGTCCAATGAGATTTTCCTTAGGCCACAAGGAATTATTTTCATTTCCTACTTTCCCTAGGTACTACATACAGGTAACATATACAATCTGGCCAAAGGAACATATGGAAAGGTTTTACCTTTACATCTTTAGACCCTCTGACCTATGGGATATATTAGGAATTTTTTTTAAATACATCTTTCATTTCACAGAATCCTAGACTATTGGACCTGGAATAGATTTTAGCCAGTACCACGTTCACCTTGTATGGCTATGCATAATGAACTTTTGAACACTAGGGGGCGCCATTCCCATTCGTTACAATGGGAATGACACCGTTCCCTCCGTGTTTTGTTTCTTGCACAACCTTACATGGCAAGCTCTGCTTATCTAATCCTTCTTCCTTTTCAAATGAGGAAATTTAGGTCCGAAGAAGCTAACAGGTTTGCTCAAGATCGCACAGATATTTCATAGTAGAGTCCAGGCAATTACCTGCCCCCTCTCTGCCTCTCAGTCATTCTGCTAATCCCAATTACTTCTGGAAACCGTGAAAGGAAAAAAGATAGGCTTTGCTGTAGTTGTCTGGATAGTGGACAATATGCCTTCAGCTGAACATGAAATTTAAATCACTTCATTTATCGCTATACGATTTGCTGTTGCTTTCCACCCCCACCCCCTGAGGCTGCTGTCCTGGCCTGGCTGGCAAGACTTCAGCGTTCAGCATATCACACTGCTGCCCCCAGGGCTACTGAGGCACAGGTCGCTGTTCCACCTTGTTGGCAAGCTCTCCTGTTTGCTCCGGCCCTTGCTGGCCCACTCCTCTGTAACCAACTTTGGCTTCTATTCCTGGCATTTTGTGTGGCTTTGTTTTTGTAGCCATCACTGACCAGTTAGCGTGATTCTTTCCTTCCTTCTGATTTGCAAATCAATCAATCAGAGCATGTTGGCTGTTGTTCTTGTCTTTGGTTCTTTGCTGCTGTTCATAGTTGCTGGAGGTTGCTACTTCTTTGCTAAAATTTTTTTCTTTTCTTTCTCCCCTTATTCTAGAATTGGAGCTTTCTGAATGCTTGAAGGTGCCAGAAAGGGTTTCCATTTGTGATTCTATTCCTATCATTCCCCCTTTACTCTCAGTTAAAAGTGAAAATATTGTTTAGGAGGAAGAACCTTGGTTAGAAAAATGCACGTCGGTCAGGCACACAATAGCTGATTATTTGTCTGAATCAAGGACCATGCATTTAAAAAATAACTACGCCTTCCTCCTCCCCTTACTCCATGCTCATCGTCAGTGTCAAGCTAAGGTAACAGGTGTTTTGGTAGGTTTGGTTGAGCCTGAATAGAAGACTCGACCTCTTGAGCCAAAGCCAGTCAGCCGTAATGGATGAACATACTGTTTCCTTGAGTCCTTTGCTCTTTGTCATTAAAGATGGCAGATCTGTCTGAAACTGATGGCTTGATCAGTCAAGAGGTACAATAGAATTAGGTCAGAAAAAGAAACGAACCAGTTGCCACCGAGTTGATTCTGACTCATGACGACAGCTGTTGATTTGTTAAAGGTTTGATACTTGCTGTTTACTGGTTGTTTGCACTTTACATATTGTTCATTGTATAATCGGGAATTTCTTTGTAAATGTTTGGTTTTCAGGCTGGTTGGAAGGAAAATCACGCAACATTCATGAGTGAACTAAAAAATCTTCAGGCTTCTGGACTGACTACTCTTGGTCAGGCTCTAAGATCCTCATTTGATTTGTTAAATCTCAATAGATTAATATCTGGAATAGACAATTATGGACAGGTAAAAAAAATTTTTGTGTGAGTACAGCTAATTTATTTTGGTGGCTTGGGGTAAGAATTTAAAATTGGGCCGGTTACCAAGTTTTCTGCTACTTTTTATAATCTCCAAAAGGAGGAGGTTCATATAGCTTTTGAATGCATATTTTTAAAATATCCTTCTTCTTGGGTCTTGTATGCAATTTGATTATAAAATAGCAAAAATTGCCTATCATCAGGTATCAGAAAATGGGACAAATAAATTGCTGAGAAATATTGGAACAAAACAATTGAAGAGAAACTTTCAGTGTCCTTAACCCTCCCTTCCCTCCCCTCCCCTCCATTCCATGAAAAAGTTCTAAAATAAGAGGAAGGCAGAATAGCATTTGCTGCTACTACCATTATCCTTTCCTACTCTAAAAACTCTGGTCACAATGACCTCACTTTGAGGTTGCAGGGCATAAGCCACTAATGTTCACCTGTCTGTGCCAGAATTTCAACTCAGGTGAACGGATTCATATGATATTTGTATGGATGATACAGCCATTCTCGTCTCTTAAATCTCATTCTTTTGTGATTACTTGGAAAGCAGAGAGAGAGGGGGGCATTTATTTGAAGATGGTACAGTAAAACCTGCGAAAGCTGGAACCTGTGTAAGGCGGAAACCTGTCGGAGAAGGAAAACTCAAATATTTTCTGCTAAAACGAACGATAGAAAAGTGGTGACTGCACCCTTGACGAAGGCGGAAAACTTGCAAAACCCGGGAAAACAAGACAGTCCCGCCGAGCTCTGGCTTTCACAGTTTTCACTGTAGTTTGGGGAGTTCCCCATGATAAGAATTCCTCAGATGATACTGAAAGTCACCTCTTCAGGGATTGTCACTTTGATTCCCACTCACTTCCTTCCCTAATCTTTTCCTTCTTATTTATCCAGGCAAATAAGCTTTTATCAAACACTTGAGAGATCACTGGCAAAGCAAATGTCAAAGTTTAAATAAAATTGTATTTCTTTACATGGCTCTAATACTTTTTAAATGTATTTTAGGGTAGAAATCCATTTTTTTTAGAACCATCTATTTTAATAACCATCACAGATGGAAACAAGTTAACAAGTACTGCTGGTGTTCAAGAAGAGGTGAGATTGACTTTTTTTTGTTTTAATTTCATTTAAATGGCAGAGAACATGCAGATATTTCTGTGGGAGGCATATATTTCTAGTTCGGAATAAGCTTTATAAAGCTTTTGAGCTTGGTAATCCGTGAAAGATTGCGTCATTTGATTGAGTTACATGAAAGAAAAGTGAACCCCTTTAACTCTTCATTTTGGTCTGGGTTGTTAAGCTGAACCTTTTCACTTTTTGCTTTGTCAGCTTTATCTTCCTTTGAATTCTCCTCTGCCCGGAAGTGAACTAACCAAAGAACCTTTTCGTTGGGATCAAAGGTTATTTGCCCTGGTGTTGCGTTTGCCTGGAGTGGCTTCTACTGAACCAGAGAATCTAGGGAGTGTACCAACTGATGAGTCGGCCATCACACAGATGTGTGAAGTCACAGGGGGTAACGGTGATATTTAATATTTCTACAGAAAGCATTCAGGGAGACAGAGTATGTTGTTGTTGATAGTGGCTGTCGAGTCGGCTCCGACTCATGGCAACCTTTTGTATAACAGAATGAAACGTCGCCCAGTCCTGCACCATCTTCATGATTGTTAGCGTGTCCGAGTCCATTGTTATTACTTTATGCGCTGGCGGCGCAACCGTTAAGCGCTGAGCTGCTAATCGACAGGTCGGCGATTCGAACCCACGCAGCAGCTCCACAGGAGAAAGACCTGGCGATCTGCTTTCGTAAGGGTTACAGCCAACAAATCCTATGGGGCAGTTCTGCTGTGTCACACGGAGTCGCTCTGAGTCGTAATGGACTTGATGGCACCTAAAAAAACAATACTTTTAAAATGTGCTTTAGGAGAGAAATCCCCTAGTTTTCATTAAATGCCAGATCTAATCTTTACTTGTTTGCCCTCAAAATAGTTAACAGGGATTTATTTTAACTCTGCTGCTTAAGCTCATCATGGTATAATGTTTGCTGCCAATGTAACAGTGATTACTTCAAGTCATATTTTAGGATTTCAAATGCTGTTATTATTAAATAATATTTTATTTGATCGAAATTGCTGTTAGCCCAGAACCAAAACCATTTCTGAGGCCAACTCTTCAGACAAAGAATAGACTGGACTATGGGACATAAAATGATACTCATGAAGAATGTGCTTCTTAACTCAAGTAGATTCATGAGCCTAAATGTGCAGCTCCTGTCCGGAGGCGAGATGAGAAAGCAAAAAGGGACAGCAGCTGGTTAAATGGATGAAGGAAATCAGGGGTGGAAAGGAGAAGTGTGCTGTCATAGTATAGGGAGAGCAACTAGGATCACAGAACAATGTATGTATAAATTTTTGTATGAGAAACTGACTTGAATTGTAAACGTTCGTTTAAAGCACAATAAAAAAATTGTATTATCTGTTTTTCCTTCTGGTGTAGGTCGCTCCTATTGTGTCAGAACACAAAGAATGCTGAATCAATGTTTAGAATCTCTAGTTCAAAAAGTTCAGAGTGGTGTCGTTATTAACTTTGAAAAAACGGGACCAGATCCACTTCCTATTGGCGAAGGTACAGTAGATCATCTTTTTTTTTTTTTTTTTAACCCTAAAGTGTATATAGACATAATGGACAGTCTTCACTACCTACATGTATTTGAGCGATTACAAACATCTATCCAAAAAAGAGCTCCCATTCAAAAAATAATAAATAGATAAATATAATAAAGAACAAACAGCTGCCATTCATTCATTGTCTATGCACACATGGCAGGTGGCCAAATTCTAACAACTTGAATTTAATGTCAAACCTTTCTAAGCGATTCCCTTCTTTTCCCTGGTCCCAGTCTTGGGATGACACTGAACCATTCACCTCTCTAGTCACAAACTATGTGGAGATTCACGACGGCATGCCACTGAACTAGTGATCTTGGATTGGGCCTTGTGAGTCCCAAATGTGCCAAGCTGTCTGTGTTAGTTACTGCAGGGCAGCAGGAGTTTAATGAATGTTTATCCAAGAACCGCCAGTACTCCATAAGATCCTACGCTAGAATTTTCCAGGCTGCTTTTTAATTGCAGAATCTCTCTCGCTCTCTCTTTTTTTTCAAACGAGAGTTTATAGAAAGCTCAACATATAAAAATAGATAAAAGCAGAGCTATTTTTGGAGACCCTGGGTGTTGCAAATATTTAAGGCACTTGGCTGCTAACTGAAAGGTTGGCAGTTCGAGTCCACCCAGAGGTGCCTCAGAAGAAAGGCCTGGTGAACTACTTCTGAAAGATCAGCCATTGAAAACCCCATGGAGCACAGTTCTACTCTGACACACATGAGGGTGCCATGAGTCGGAACTGACTCCATGGCAACTGGTTGTTGGGTACTTTTGGATAGGGGAAGGGGCCTTCTCCTCCCCGAATCTATACCCCTATTGCAAGGCTGCTGTAGAGCACTGCTGTAGGCTCTCTGTTCACACACATATATACGTGTGCATACCTGGACTCCATCATAACCACGGTGTTTGTGTGATCTGATCCATATATTTTAATCAGTAGTAGCTGCCTAGAGAAGCCAAGGGGACAAGTGTCTAGGGGCAGGAAGATACACGTTTCTGTCTGAAGCAGTGATCCTGTGGTTCCTGACCTTTTTCTCTTCAATTCCTGGACCGCTTTGAAAAGCTGTTGAAAAACATAGACCCCCTCTTCCTAGAAAGCTGGACTCCAGGATAAGAACACCTGCCATAGAGGACTGAGGCCTCACAGCCTGTTTTAAATTCATCGTAAAGGAAGGGCATGTTATATTGCTAGCAGTCGAGTGACTGCTCAATCCCTAAATTTGTGTTCATTACCTTAATGTGAACTGGGAATGTTCAGACTGAAATCCTAGTGGGAGGCCATTTAATGTCATGTAAACAACTCAGGTTTTCTTTCTAGCTCCAGCTCACCTTTGTCCAGAGTTCTTAACCTTTGAGATTCTGATGAACGCTAATAACCCTTTCCTCAGAAAAATGCACATCCCCAGAATTGTGAGCTCAACTTCAGAGGGATCTCTTGGTCCCCTGAAGCCATTAGATGTATTCCCTAGGGCTCCATAACCTGTTGCCATCAAGTCAATTCCAACTCATAGAGACCCTATAGGAGAGAATAGAACTGTCCTATAGAGTTTCCAAGGAGCAGCTGGCTGCCAACCTTTCGGTTAGCAGCCTGAGCTTTTAACCACTTCACCCCAGGGCTCCAGGGCTCCTATGGACCCCAGTAAATCTCCTGGTCTAAGTTAAGAAAAATGAGACTGAAATCATTAAAACATTGTCTTTTACAGGGAACATTGGTGGTTCAGCGGTAGAATTCTTGCCTTTCATGTGGGAGACCCGGGTTCAATTCTCGGCCAAATGTTACCTCATGTGCAGCCACCACCCGTCTGTCAGTGGAGGCTTAGATATGACACCAAAAGCACAAGCAACAAAAGACAAAATAGATAAATTGGACTTCACCAAAAAACATCTTTTACAAGTATAATTTAGACTAAAGACTATATATTAGTCTTTAGACTAAAGGTTACATAATTCTGCCTTGCCTTGTTTTGGGGTGGGGCAAATAAAATATGCTACTTTAAAGAATTAAAATGCGTTTAGGATACAGTATTTCTCATTATAAAATGCTCAGTTTCCATGGAATTTTAATGGTGAATTAGTCCACAATAAACTTGATGTATTTTTGTGCTCCCCACCCCCCGTACTATTCAGGGATTAATTCACACATAGATAATGTTATCAATATTTCTTCTACCTTTAAATGAATTTGGATAGCTTTTATTTTGCCTTTGTGGTCATTGGGACAAACTGTTTAGTAAGGAATACTTTTTTTTTTTTTTTATCTAATTGGGAAAGAAAGAATATGCAAATGGAATTTATGGCCTATTTTGTCAGATTCCAAAAATGTAAAATTAAAAAGTAGACCTGGGAATGAACAATTTCATTTGCTTAATTTCATAACTGAATTCTGGAAAAATAACTGTAGTCTTCTGGTGTGTTTAATCTAGCAGCCCAAGTCTTAGAAATTTTAAAACTAGCTTTAAAATAGCTTTTCATGTGGTGAAGTCACTCCCGAGGTTCACCGTTCAGCTGGCGATTGGACAGCCTCATAAAACAAAAGGGACTAATGAGGCACAACAGTCCAGGAACAAGGACTAGTAGGCACGAGGGGACAAGAAAGCTGGTGATAGGGAACCCAAGGTTGAGAAGGGACAGTGTTGACATGTTGTGGAGTTGTTAACCATTCTTATAAGGCAATAT